AGTTACAGAAGATGGATGCGAAAATACATATATTGTTTAATCTCATTTGCATGAAATTCTAGAATAGACGGAACTAACCTATGGTTATGGAAGTCAGTATTGCTGGTAGGGGAGTGCAGGCCACCTCTAGGAGCTACGGGAGGCAGCCCTCAGCTGACAGCCAGCCAGCAAGAAAACCAGGACATCAGTCCTACAACCAAAAGAACTGAATTCTGCCACAACCGCAAGAGCTTGCAAGAGCATCCTGAGCTCTGGAAGAGAACAACAGCCCAACACACAACTGTAGCCACGTGAGCCCTGAGCAGAGGATCCAGCCAAGCCATGCCTGGACCCCTCACCCACAGAAACCGTGAGATAACAAACATTACTGTTCTAAACCACTAAATTTGCAGTAATTTGTTATATGGTAAATAGAAAACTAACATAAATGTCACACAAAAAAAGCTTTAGAACTTAATGATGTTTTAGTTAAAAAAAAGTAGAAATTATGGATGAATCTTGAGGACATTATGCTAAGTAAAATTAGCCAGTCACAAAAAGACAAATACTGCATGACTCCAGTTATATGAGGTATCTAAAGTAGTTAAATCTATAGAAACAGGAAGTAGAATGGTGGTTGCCAGGGGCTAAGGGGATGGGGGGAAATAGGGAGTTATTTAATGGATACAGAGTTTTAGTTTTGGAAGATGAAAAAGTTCCAGAGATCTACTGTACAACAATGTAAATATATTTAAGACTACCAAAATACACTCTTAAAAATGGTTAAGATGGTAAATTTGGGGGTTTTTAAAACCACAATCTTAAAAGAATAGAAATTAACATTTTCCCCATTTGGTCAATAATACAAGTAATTTTTAGACAGAATAAGTGAATTTAAGAGAAAACACACCACCATATTCACCATAAGAATGAAGATTCAGTCAGCTTTTACTGACCACGGAGCCTGTGCCAGCTTCTCTGAAGGACACAAGTACTACAACACCAACATGGTGACCCGAAACACTGTACTTTAGACAGCAACCCCAAGGAGCGACCACGACCACCTGCATCACCTGGGCTTTTGAAACCGAAGAAACGGGGCAGGGGCATCCCAGGTGGAGGCACCTGGAAGACTGAGCTTAGCATTACTGTGATTCATGATAGCAAGGTGGTTCAAAGCTTGAAGTGTACAAGCAAAAAGCCTTGAACTAGAAGGCTTTAAACCAGCTGTATACCTCTGGTTTACATAATTTGCCCTCTCTAATCCTCAATTTCCTCAACAGCAGGATAGAGGCGATTGCTGTACCAATTTTACCTGATATAGTGCTAAATTCACTATTATCAGTTTTATTGTAGAAGTTTAATAACTTCAAAGAGGCTGGAGCATAAATTTCCACATTATGCCATCGAAGTCAGGGAACAATCTAAGGTTTGAGTTGAGTTGGGCATTTTCCTGGCGGTCCAGTGGTTAAGACTTCGCCTTCCAATGCAGGGGGTGCGTGTTCAATCCCTGGTCAGGGAGCTAAGATCCCACATGCCTCATGGCCAAAAACCCCAAACATAAAAAACAGAAGCAATATTGTAACAAGCTCAGTAAAGACTTTAAAAATGGCCCACATCAAAAACAAAAAACAAAAAATCTTTAAAAAGAAGAAAAAAAAGTTGAGGTGACTGGGATATTTTAGAACCAAGGAAATAATTTCTACTTTACACATGCACTTAGCTTAAATTGTTTGTTCTAGTGATATTCACTTGTATCTGCTTTATTAAGTATCAACGACATACCAAGCATATTTAAAAGCATAGATTGAGACTGCTTTCATCTGCCTCCAAAAATTAGTTAAAAATAAAAACATAATTCATTTTTGATCTAAGAGTATGTTAACCAGCAGGCTACAGGGCAGAATGACACAAGGATACCTTGGGAGAAAAAAAAAGCAAGTCATCTCTGAATTAGCCCTCCAGTCTTGGAAAGCAATATTCTCAGAAAAAGTTTAAAAGGTCACAAATAGCCCTCCAGAACCAAACCCAATAGACTTTTCTGTCCAAATCTTTCCTTACCTCTTAGCCAATTTGATACTGCCCTCCTCCTCTTCCCTGTGTCCCAGGGCTTTCCTACCCTTAGGGCCACTCTGCAATCTCTACCAAGTGTCAGAAGCTCTCACATCTTTATCTCCAGCCTAAATCTTGTCTTGAGCTCCAGGCCTGAATCTCCAACAGACCACTAATCCACTTGGCCGCCCCACGACGTGGATTTAACCTACCCAAACCCAAACTCACCATCTCCTCCTCCCATTTTCCCCATCGTGGTGGGTGTCACCTGCCAGTGAGTCACCCAAGTTAGAGACAGGGAAGTGACTCTAGATGTATTCCTTCACATTATGTGCCAAGCACTGACATTGAACACACCAGATAAAAATCCCCACCCTGCCCTTGTGGAGACTGAATGTAAGTGGAGGCGACAGATAAACTATGTAAGAAAATAATTAAGTAGGGAATTCCCCGGCAGTCCAGTGGTTAGGACCCCGAGCTCTCACTGCCGAGGGCCTGGGTTCAATCCCTGGTCGGGGAACTAAAATCCCACAATCCTCGAAATGTGGCCCCCCCCAAAAAAGAAAATATAATATTGTACAGAGTGAGAAGTAGTAAGGAGTGTGTGGAGAAGTGAGGACACACTGATATCCTGAAGAGCAGACTCGGAATGCGACTGGGCGGACTTGAATGAGGGCAAGAGTAGGAAGACAAGGGGAAAAGATGGGGTGGGGTGCTTACAGGACACTGGCAAGAACTTCAGCAGAGGAGTGACATGATCCCACCTAGGTTTTAGCAGTTGGCTTGGGTTTGAAAACTGCCTATAGTCTCCTTCTGCCTACAGCCCCACCCTTCCCCCACTCCACTCAGGTCCCGAGTCAGGACCACCCTCCCTAGACACACTGTACATCGCCTTTCCTGATCTCATCCTTCCATTCTCACCCATTCCCAATCTGCAGCGCCACCACTCCCAGTCCCACCCCACTTTTCTTCAAGTCTCCCAGCCAGAATCACCTGCTCAGAGCACTCGGCACAGCATTCAATCTCATCTGTGGTACCAGACTGTGAGCTCCTCCAGGACAGCGACCGTCCCCGTATCCCCGACTACTCAGCACAGCACCTGCCATGCAGCTGGTTCTCAATAAACATTTAAGACCTTGCTTTCACATCTTAATAGGCTAACCATTTTTATCCTATACCACGAAATGGACACTTAAAACTTCCCTGTACTTTTTGATCAGTACTTTTGTACTGATCACTTCTTTGTTAATAAAGTTCTGGTTCATTATCATATTTCACTTAGGTTTCCAGGTTATACGAATCCTACACTTTAACTTTTGACTTTTCCACTTCTAATTTTCTTTTTGTACAATTATATTTTGCAATAGTTTATAGCCCTACATGGAAAGCTACACATTGACTTACCTATCTTTCAACATTATGAAACATGCTTAAGGTATAACTTTTTAAAAGAATATATAATTTAAGTAACTGCAGCTGAGTTTTTACTTACTATGCAATATTTAGGATACTATGTGCCTCTCCCCGGTGGCATTTCCTCCCTCCTCCTTGCTGCGATTCCCATGCATGTCTTTCTTCCTTTATTATGTACTGTCTACAGTACTGTTAGAAGACACTGCCAAGCTAGGTGAACCTGCAAGGCTGCCGTGAGGTTACCACCCTAGGTCCTCCACGCCCCTCAGGGACAACAGGGCTGCCAGGCTCCACTGCAACATGAGGCTGCATTCTTAGATGACTTGGAGAAACTGACTCTTAAGAGAGGGTCCTCCCCCATGACATATAATCCCACACAATCTGAAATTTTTAGTGTTTAATATCACTGTACTCTTAGAGGTACTTAGGAAACAGAACAATGAATCAAATTTCCCACCTTAACTAAGGCTTGTTGCCAGTCCATAAAAGAGGATCATCCTAAATAAGAATATGAGATTTAAGGAGGTTGTTCCAATTTCTAATGGAACTATTCACTGAACTATTACAATGTATTCTGAGCTAATGATTCTGATCAGTGGCTTAGTCATGCTCTACAAAAACAGCCTTTGCGTTTAACAAATGCAAAGGCTCAAAGAACCAGCTGCCCCTTCACACAGCAGTTTAAATGGTGTATCACAAATTTTCTGCTCTCACACTTCTAAAGAACATCATTTTTGCAAGTTCTCCTTAACAAACGCTTAATATGTAAACTCTGAATGTGCTGTTTAACAAAACAGTAAAAAGCAGCAACAGTACAAAATCTCTAACACCGAATTGCCTGGATCTACAAACCTTAAGTTATAAAACCATCCAATTCACCAGGCATTCGCTTTTTTAATATTTTATTTTAAATTTTTAAGGAAAGAGGTACATCAAATTTGACAACCGAGTAGATATTCCAGGACCGGAATACTACAAGTTTAGTGGGAGCAACTCCAGCCTAGGCGAACACTGGGGATGAGGCGTTTCGGGTCTGGCCGCTAGAAGAAAGAGGCCGCGGAGCAGGCGGGGTCCAGCCGGACTCTCGGGAAGGAGCCCGCACGCTTCCGACCCGCCGACAGACCGCGAGCATGACAGGCGCGCCCGCCCTGGGCGGTGCCGCGGGAGAGGGCGGGGGACGGAAGGAAGGGGAAGGACTCGGACAAAGCGAGCCGGGCCGGCCGCCCCCTCCCCGCGCGCCGCGTCCAGCCTCCCGTCCCCAGCCGCGCGGCTCCCGGGGCCACAGCTGTTCCCAGGGCGGCCGCCCCCGCCCGCAGCGGGGCCGAGCCTGCGACGCGGGGCCGGGCGGGGGGCCGGGAGGGGCCGGAGCCAGATGGGCACGCGGAGGGGACCCGAACCTGAAGGGGCCGTGACGGGGATGGGCCGGGGTCCTGGGCGGCGGCCGGGGCCGGTGGAGAAAGGGGACGGACCTGCTGGAGGCTCGAGGGCCGGAGAGGGGCCGGGGGCGGGAAGGGACACGGGTGCGGCCGGAGGACCCGGGCCCGCCGCCGACTCACCGTGCTGCTCCCGCGGGGCCGCGCGCTCGCGCTGTCAGCACCGGGAGGCCGCGGGCGCGTGCGCCGAGCGGGACCGCCGGGGCTGTCGCCTCGCCGCGTCAGGTGCGGCTCCGCGGTCACAAACGAGGGGCGCCGGCGCGGCCGCCCCGCAGCATCCTCGGCCGCCCACGCGCGCTGTGTCCCACGGCGCCTCCTCGCAGCCGCCGCCCAGCCAGCTCCGGCTCCGCTGCTCCCGCCGCCGAAAATGGCGTCTCCGCGTCCCTCCCCCGGCTCGGCGTTCCCGCCCCACAATGCCGCACGCCACCGTGACGTCACCCTGCCCCGCCGCCTATGGGCGGGTCAGCTCGGGAACCAGGGACCCGGCGGAGCGGGGCTCCTGGAGCCAGACGCGGTCCCGGGCTGGCTGTCGCGGGCCACACTGGGGGCGGGGAGGGGGTACTACCCCCCTCCGTGGGCGGCCTCGCGCGGGCAGGGCCAGAAGGTGGCCTGAGGAGGGCACTGGCCCAGCGCTGCCGGTCAGCACCGCGTCCGGGCCCTTCCCTCCCGGGCGCGGCCGTCTCCTGCTCTCATGTATCAGGAATAATATTTATTCACATAATATTTATGTGCTCGTTTAAATCTTTCCAGAACCCACTAGGGGGGCTTTCAGCAGCCCCTCCAAAGCAAAGGGTCCTGAGGCGCTAGCCTAAGCCAGGAGGCCTTTCTCCAGGACAATCTGGAGTCTTCGGTCGAGACCCTGACCCCCCAGTCCCCACGCCTTGCCTATCTCGTTCACTCGCCCCTGGGCCATCGGATCTTCAAGGATCTGAGTCCACGGGCTCTTTCCAAGCCCTCCCCTCAGCCACAAAGGCCTCGCAGTAACAGCACCTCAGGCTCATAAGCGGGGTGGGATGCTTAACCCCTACTGCCTGGCAAGAGCAGAGGTGCTGTCGCCCCCCCACCCACGGGCAGCCATCACCAGGGCACACCCCTGGGCGCAGTGCCACGACCTCCAGCCCAACCCAAAGGGCAGTACTTCCAGGTCAGAGACTGCTTCTGGGCCCCATCCTGCTGCATCGGGGCTCTGCAGGCCTGACTCAGCAGCCAACTGCGAGGATGCCTGCTGATTCAGTAGGCAAGACTCGGCTTGCTTTGCCTGCCACCAGCTTGGGAGACCCCCCCCCAGGTGTCTGCGGATGCCCCAAGTGGCATTACTAACCAGGAGGGGTTCCTGTGCCAGTCCCCCCCACACTTGCTTTTAAACTGCTGTGTTTTTCAGATGCTACCACCCCAGCACCAGCAGCCGTTTTAACCCTGCGATGACCCAGTCACCTGGGAAATAAATGCTCCTAGATTTTCAGAGGGTGGTCCAGTACTTTGCTTTCATTTGTAAATGCAAAGTTGAGCTAAAAGTGGGAAAGATCCTTGGTGACACAGCAATTACTGGGCAGAGAGAGAGAGAGAGAGAGAGAGAGAGAGAGAGGCAGTTAATCAGAGTCGAACAACCCCTCCACATTCCCTTAGTGATTGGGCCGCACTGCAGCTTGGATGTCACCTGCTCCCCAGCAACCACCCTGGGGCTGGGCATGGCAGGCAGCTGTAAGTGAAGTGCTCTGGAGAGGGGAGGAGTGGGCTGAGCTCTGGGCTCAGTGACCGTTCCCTTCCACTCACTCATCACACCAGCAAGTAAGGAACCTGAGATGCTTATGCCCTCTTCCGATGGGTGGCCAAGATTCTACCCCTTTGCTATTGCTTTAGTCCATCCCCTCTGCTGCCGCTCTGTTCAGGCTCTATTATCTTGGTCTTTTATTCTCTCAACAAATATCTGTTGAACTGCCGTGGTCACCACGATAAAAGCCAAGATGCACCGGTAAACAGAATAGATAAGATGCCTGCTCTTTCTGGTGCAGTGCTCGGCAGAGAATTGAAGTAAGACGATGCGGCAGGCAGAGGCAAGGTGGTGGGGTGAGCTGAGACCTAAATAATAGGAAGCAGCCAACTGCAAAGCCGGCGGGGATGGCGGGGCGGGGGGCGGGGGACACTCCAGGCAAAAGTCCTCAGGCGGCAATGAATCTGAAGGGATGAGGGAAACAGAGAAAAGGCCAATCATCCACCACAATCAGGGACCCTCCTGGAAGCACTGGATGCACCATCATTCTCAGGGCGGCGGGATGGAGCGCCTGTCCTCACCCAGGGTCTCACGCTGAGACTAACAAGCGTCCGTCCTCCCTGAGAACCCCTGAGCAGCCTCAGTCTCTTTCAGTCCTCTGAATCTCACTGGAACTCCCAAGAGGAGCACTGCTCTCTCGTTTTACAGATGTTGCAGCTGAGGTCCTGCTAGTTCCGAGGTTTGCTTGCTGCTTCCCGAAGAGGGGTTAACTTGGCTTTAGGAATCAAATGGAAGCCCCTGGGCCCCTGGCAGTGGCGGGGCCAGGAGTTGATGCCTTTGTGGTGGGGAACCCTCATCAGGGCTACTCAGGGGCCGCAAATTCATTCGTTATCTGTCCTAGAGGCAGCAAACCTAGAGGCAGCAAACACGCTTGCACATCCCTGTAGCCAACAGCCTGCTGGGCCAGCCAGGGTCCTGGAGGGGTGGGGCTGTGCCTGGGGGGCAGCAGGGATCTTTGGCCAGAGCTGGGCCCTGCACCCGACCCCTTAGGGCAGGACTAGGGGTTCCTCCCACAGACACGAGAGACGTGAGCAGCCTCCCTCCTCACTCCCATGTATGTCTCTTCCGTTTGGAAAGGCAGCCCATGTGGCTTGAGCCGCTGCCTCCTCGTTCTCTCTGCCTGTCCCTGTCTCTCCATCCTCCTGCCATGTTCTCTGCCCTCATCTATTTCTGTCTGCTTCCCACCTTTCACTCCCCTGTTCCAAAACCTGAGAAATCAACAGGCAGCCTATAGGTCGAAACAGAGGTTAGGGCTGCAGTACAGCGTATAGGGCCCAGATGAAGCTGTGACTGAGGTCCCTGGCCGAGGAACAGCGGAAACAACCACAAGCCAACCTCCTGCAGTTCGCGGGCACCAGGGCATAGGAGATAAGCTAGGAGGGTGGCCCACGCTCATTCCACTCCCAGTATTATTGAGAACCAATACCGTCTGGTGAGAGGCTGGGAAATAGGAGAATGAGGGGCGCCTGCACAGGTGAGCCCAGGACAGGAGCTGAGACAGGAGGCTGGGCCAGGTGCGGCAGGGATCAGGGGACCCCATGCAAGAGGGACATTCACTTGGCAGGTGGGAAGGACTCAGCAGATGACGGTCCCAGTGGAGGAAGCGCCCAACCAACCACACGATCCTCTGTCTCCAGTGGAGAATGGGGCGGGATGCCACCACGGTTATAAAGCATCCATCTTCTTACTGTAAACGTCCGTGGACGTCTGTGTCCAGGCGCAGCCCTTTGGGGGAGACTGGGATCTGGGGATTTCCCTTTGATCCTGAGAGGTCTGCATTCGGGGAGCGGGGGCCGCCCCGGTCTGTGAGTGCCTGAGAGGGAGGGCAGGCAGGGAGAAGGAAGGGAAGGAAGCCTGCTTGCTCATGGCAGTGGGGAGGGGCCAGGAAGCGGTACTTGGGTGGCGTCCTCAGTCCGGAGGGGCGACCCATCTGGTCGGCCCAGGCCAGAGAGGAGCCTGCGCACCCGCAGAGGGACAGGGAGGGGGGAGGGTAAACACAGGCTCTACAGCCAGGACCCCCCAATTCCCTGCTGGCCCCATTGCGCGCCCCGCACCTCACCCAGCGCCCACAGCCCACACTCCTCTCTCGAGTCCACACCCCTCCCCGCCCCCTGCCCTAGCCTGGGCGTCACACCCAGCCTGGACCGCGCCCCACAGTCTGGGCACAGAGGAGCCTGGGCATCATCGGGTCTTCTCCAGGCTCGGGAACAAGTGGCCAGCGCAACCGCTGGGAGGGGCAGCCTGGCATCCAGACCTGGGCCGGGACTGCCCTCAGCTGCCTGCCCTGCTCTCCTGACAGGTCACACCCTCTCTGGTCTCTGGCTTCGATGCTGAAAATGACATTTATCAGATTTCCAGGTGCTTTTCCTTTAAAGAGCTCGAGCTGTTAGCATTAATTAAGCTCCGGGAACTGCTCCCTCAGACAAATGGGAAACAGCAGCACCTTGGGTGGGGAGGAGGTGGGCGAGGGAGGGGTAGCTGCAGGGAGAAGCCCTGCCCCCTGCTTCAGCCTCCCTCGTACACATTTTTTTTTTCTGATGCAGAGGAATTGAAGCCTGGGTCCTGCTGGGGAATTTTGACCCCGCAGGAGTGCCCAGGGCCCCCAGCATTCCTGAATGCTGAATGGAGTTCATCATTTGCTTGTTTTTTAGGGAAAACTTACACAACGTAAAATGCACGCATCTTCAGGAGACCATCTGATGGGTTCTGATAAATGCTCATACCTGCGTAACTGAAAGCCCCATCAGTAAATGGAAAGCTCCCATCACCCCGCAAAATTCCCTCACGTGCCTTGTCAGGCAATCCCCCAACCATTGTTGTATACTGTTGTTTCCTTTGGTTTTACTGTAGATTCGTTTTGCGTGTTCTAGCACTTCACATAAACGGAACCATACAGGAGCTACCTTTTTGTGTGGCACCTTTCACACAACTAGTAGATTTGCACTCATCCGTGTGGTTGCATGTTTGTTTGCCCCTGGTGATGGGAACTTGGGCTGCTTCCATTTTGGTTAGCATGAATAAAGCTGATCTAAACTTTCTCATACAAATCTTTGGGGAACCTGTATTTTCATTTCTCCAGTGAATACCTAGGAATGGAACTGCTAGGCTATAGGGCAGGGGTATGTTTAGTTTTATAAGAAACTTCCAGACCTGTTTCCTACGTGACTATTTTACACCCCACTAGTGTTGTATGAGCATTCCACACATGGCAATTCGCTATACCAGAATCCTTGAAGAGACGGTCTGGAACAAAGGACAGCCAGTACCGCCCAGCAGGTACCACCAGGGGTGCCACACTTGGATTATGGGGGAGGGTGGTGCTGGCTGAGCAGAGGTGGTTGCTGGAAGGCCTCAAGCCTCCTGCAGGGAAGGGACAGAGTTCCTCAGTGACAGCCCAGCAGCCAGGTGCAAAGTCCCATCACAAGACATCCTGTAGGCCAATGATTCTGCTGTTCAAAAAGCAATGATTAAAAACACTGGAATATGCGCTCCAAATGTGCAGGAACTGGAGGTGTGGTGAAGAGTGAGGAGGGGACACCAGCTGCCATCTCTGGGGAGAAGGCAGGTAAGGGGTAGGGTAGGTGGCCTTACGACCGCCCCCCCACCACCCCCGC